TTTTCATATATGTTTTTATTCCTTTTTTTATTTTTCTTAACATGTAGTACTTAACCTATTTCAAATATTAATATATTCTTGTACATTCATAACTGTATACAATTAATATTTTACAATAAATATCATCAAAATAAATGAATAACAAAATGAAATAAATAAATGTAAATGTAAATGTAATATTATAGATTGTACAGCGGCTGCTTTTAGCAAAATGATAAAAAATATGCCTGTCATCGTTACAATGTTATTCGTATTTATTGACAGCCATTTAAAGCCATTTAAGCATTCCTTTAAGGGACATTGTAGCAGAACAAAATACTTTTCAAGAAAAATTTATTTAATATTTTACATTTTGAAAGTAGTGTATCATCATGTTACGTTCTGCATTAAATCATCAAAGCGTACGGAAACTTAGCCTCAATTTAGCGGAAACAAAATGTAAACGATTAGAAGGAAAAGTGGCAATTGTTACAGCATCGACAGAAGGGTAAAATGACATGTTTAGTATTATTTAAAATATAATTTTGTTATACAAATTATATATTTTAATTTTTTGCGCTATATTATTAAGATCACTTGATCATTAAAAAAAGTACTACTGAACTTATTATATTAAAATATTTTATTTTAGGATTGGTTTTGCAATAGCAAAACGTTTAGCTGAAGAAGGAGCTAAGGTAATGATCAGCAGCCGTAAAGAAGCAAATGTAAAGAAAGCTGTAGAACAACTTAAATCTACAGGTTTAAATGTTTGTGGTACCATATGTCATGTTGGCAAAAAGGAAGACAGGAAAAGACTTTTGGAAAAAGTAAATAGTTCGTTTATTTTGATATATAAATACTTAAACTCTTTAAAGTACTTTAAATCATAATATAAGCTCTTTATAAAATAAAATATAATTTACTAACAACATTACAGACAGAACAAGAATTTGGTAGTTTAGATATTCTTGTATCAAATGCAGCCACAAATCCAAATCCATCTACACTTTTTGATACTTCAGAAGAATTATGGGATAAAATTTTTGATATTAATGTTAAAAGTACATTTCTTTTGCTTCAAGAATCTTTATCACTTTTAAGAAAAAGCAAAACTCCATCAATAATTCTTGTATCTTCAGTATCAGCATATAGACCATATACTGTAAGCAATTATTCAATTTATATGTTATAATAAGATTTTTATAACTTTATAAACAATTTATTTGTTTAAAATTTTATATGTGATGTTGTAGTTGTTGGGTGCTTATGGTGTTAGTAAAACTGCATTATTAGGAATAAACCAATTAGCAGCTGCTACTCTTGTGTCTGAAGGGATTCGTGTCAATTGTATAGCACCTGGTATAATAAAGACAAAGTTTGCAAAAATAGTATGTATTTCTATGTTTCTTTGTAGAATGTTTTATTGTGAAATGACATGAACATATATATTACTTATATCTTCTATATAGCTTTGTGAAGGAGAACTAGGAGAAACAATGTTATCAACAATACCAATGCAAAGGTTTGGTGAGCCAAAGGATATAGCAGGAGTTGCTGCGTTTTTAGCAAGTGATGATGCTTCATACATTACTGGTGAAACTATTATTGCTAGTGGTGGAATGCCATGCAAGCTTTAAGCATTTTGTACACAAATATTTTTATATATCCTGAAAATTATATTATAAAGGCTGTTAAAAACTATGTATGATTTATATAACAAAAAAATAAAACATTGTTTTTGTTTATATATTTGTAAATTTTAATAAAATATTGCAATTGATAAGCATTGCTTATTTTTGAAAATTAGCATGAATTTATTTTAATGATATAAAGGAATTAGTGAAAATATATATAAAATTGTATTGTTTTAATTTCATTCAACAACACCTAATTTTTTGTAACTATCAATTTTATTTCTTATGTACTGCTTTAAACAATGTATCGAACGATATATCGAAGTAGAATACATTACCTTTAAGGCATGTTTATAATGGATGTGCAGAAGACAATTTTATATTTTATAATTATACAACTTTATAAATATGCAACAAAAAGCACATATTTATTCATTTTAAGTTCCAATTTTATCAATAATACTTTTTTACTACTATGTATGTAATATAGTAGTATATTCATTATTTGATCACAACGAACAGTAATGATAAATAATGGTAATGGCAGATGAAAACATGGTACAGAACGCAGTTCAGCCACAAGAAAATAATCTCGAAGGTGATGAAAACGAATGGGAAAATGAAGAGAACGAAGAAAATTGCAATAATGCCGGTAAATAATATATTTTTGTACATAAAAATACATGACAGAATAAGTATGCCTTTATTTTCTTAAATATTTAAACGTATAAATGTTGCTTACTACATAAAATATGCGTATTATATTATGTCATTTTAGAATTCGAAGCTATAAATGATCAGCTGGAAAAAATTAATTCAGTTTTGGATAAAATTGAACAAAAAAATGACGATATTCGTGCAGAATTGATTGAATTTCTACAATCAAATCGAGAAACAAGAAAACAATTTCAAGAATGTCAAGATTCTGTAAAGCCCGATTTGTAATACTGTATTTTGAACAGGTATATAATGTATAGTTTATTAATAATTCAAAATGTACGACAGTAAACTAATATTTTTACTATTCCAGATTTTAACGATGTTTTTAACATTGATTTTAAACGTATTTCCCACGGTAACAGCTGCAAAGGTTTTTTGTTGGTATTGAAAACTGTATACGCTTTGTGGATCCATGTAAAAATTAAATTCTGCTTGAGGTGTCATATTTCCTTGTGCTAATATAAAAATTGAAAATGAATAAAAGCAAAAAAGAATGATTAATTAATATAAGTAAGAAGAATAAATATTACCCTTGTATTTCCCTTCATAATATAAAACTTTTTTACATTGTTAACAAAGTCAGGTACATTTTCATGGTTAATGCTATGTTTGTCAAAGGTCCCAGGCATAAAACAGTAACTTCATCTGGATATTCTGATACAATTTTATTTAAAGCACATACAGCATGCTGTTTTTGTAATTTACTGGTATCTATTTTTGTATCATATACATCACCAAATCCATCACTACCAAAATATTGACAATTGGCTGCTTGTTCAGCATTTTTAATGCAAAGTAAAGGTGCATGTGCCCCTTGAAAACCTGGTATCTATAAAATAAAATATAAAAAAATGCAATATATATTTTATTAAAGTTAGATACAATTTTAAACCAATTATAACTTACATCTGTTACTTTGCAAGCATGTTCTAAATACATTTTTAATTACATTGTCTACTGTTGTATTTCCATTAACACAAGTAATTCCTTTAATTTGAATTTGTTCTTTATGAGCAGCAATCCTATCATTTTAACTTAAAAATGGTTTGTTTTCTTTAATAATATAAATAATTTATCATTTAATAATTTGCAGTTATTTTTATTGCAATAAAAATATATACAACATAAGTACACTGTTGGATTTCTGGTAATGGAATAGTGTACAATAATACAAAAATTAATTATTTTTAATTATTTTATAACTCATTGTCAGTAGTATCACCAATTAAGTACATGTTCCAATAAGCTTCCGAAGCTCCATGAACTGATAAATGTACAGAATGAAAGAAAAAGGAATAATAAATGATAATTCTCATATGTTAATCACTCGAAATATTTTGATTGGTTATGGCAGATATTTGATAAGCACACAAATATTAATTACATTAAGCACGCAATGTTTAAAATGCGATTAGATAAAGCTTACGATTTATTTATAATTACATACATTATAATTAAGCAAGATATTCGGCATAATATAAAATTAGCTGATAAAATATGATTTTTTCTGAAGGAATTAATTAAAAATATAGATCAAAATTTACACCTAGATTTTATTGTCAAGAATATCAAATTTGAAAATTTGCTGATATCAAATACAATCGAATATAATTTAGTTATCGTTTTATTTTATTACTAAATACTTTTTATTGATATAAGAGTTTTTTTGTGAAGAATTATATTCTGTCCGTTAGTACGTACATGTATGTAAGAGTATGTATATATGTACATACATATCGTATAATAGATTTAAAACATAGTCTGGACAAAATCTGTTCCAGTTACAATGCAGTTTCCGTAAACTTAATTTACATCAACAATAAAAATTTTAATTATTGTATTAATTACTTATTAACATTTGTACTTCTTATTATATAACGAATATTCCTAAAAAATTAATTCTATTGTATTATATAATCTTTAATAATATCTATAACCGTATTTAATTGCTCTGTGAAAAAGAGTTACAGTTTTAATATTTATACATTCTTGACTAATATATTTTTTCTGTACTTCATCTACATATACATTTTTTTTGTTTAATTTGATGAAACACGAAAGGTATTGTATATTTTAAACTGTTGAAACCTAATAATGCAGTAAAAGATGAATTATAGTATACTGCTTAGCTAAAAAAATTACGTTACAAGTTACAGAAAGGCATCATCGCTTCTTAATACGTTCGCTACCACCGATGCAACATATGCAGTCCAGAATGCATTGCCTAGCGTGCTATCGATTTTCTAGTGGCAGATGTTACCATATCTTCTATATTTATCAAATATTACTATCATATTAGGTTATCATCTGTTTCAGGTACTTTTAACTGGAAAAAATTTACATACTGAGATAATGCAAAAAATGGTATACAAGAATTTATCGATTTTGCTCACAATGAACTTACAAACATAGTGTATGGATAGGAGAAGGTTGTAAATAATGATGAAGACTTATAATTTATACTTGGCGTGTTCTTAACTATAATCGAAAATATATAGAATAGAACACGGAGGAATAGTTTATAACATAATATTTTTTATCCAATGCAAAGTATAATCTGAATTTTGAATATAGTGCATTATGTTATAGTAGATGGCGTTATTTCGAACTAACAAAAAGTATAATAGCTGAGAATAACAGAACGATAAGAAGCAAACGGCAAACGGTGACCCTCTCCTTGATTTTGTTTTTTACGAAAATGAAATAGTTACTAAAAATTTGATAAGATAACGCCATAATATATACAACATTTTAATATTTTAAATTAGAAATAAAATATTAAAATGGATGAAGCGAAGTTTCTGAAACGGTGGGTAAACTACGTAATTATACTATTAATTATGTATTGTATAATTATTTTATATCTCTTTTATTTTTATATCTCTCTTTATTAATTATTGATAAACCGTAACGAATACATTTTGAATGTTTAGAAAAGTAAGATCTGGTACTTTAGATGTACATCCGACAGAAAAAGCTCTAGTAGTAAATTATGATGTTGAAGCATTAATCTTGGGTGAATTAGGAGATCCTATGCTAGGAGATCGCAAGGTAAGGTTTACAAATACATTATTGCTAACCATTGAAATATTTATATGATTATAAATTAAATTCATTTTTAGGAGTGTCAAAAAATAATTCGACTAAAAAGTTTAAATGCAGACACTAATGTATCACTTTTAGCTAAGGAAGTGATTGAAAAATGTTCTTTAATACATGAATCAAAACTTCGTGAAGTAGAACAACTGATTTATTATCTTCAAAACCGTAAAATGAATGATAGTTGTACAAGTAAGTTTTTATATGTATATTACATTGTCTTCAATGCTTCACCTATTCTGCTTACTGCATATTTATCTTATTATAGATAGTGATAACAATTCTCAACCTTCAAGACCAGCATCATCAAATTCAGTATCTACAGATAATGGTGAAACAGAACGTGCTGTAATCAGTAATGTTGATAGCTATATTGAATTATTATATGAAGAAATACCTGGAAAAATTAAAGGTTCATCATTGATTTTACGACTAACAAGAATACCTGACAATCTTCATGAACTAACAAAAAATGGTATTGAACATTTTATAATAAATTAATTGCTTATTTATTTATTTTATATCTAATTGATAAATACCTTTCTAGAATCCTTGTTAAGTGCTTTAGCTAGAGTTCTGAGAGAAGACTGGAGGCGCAGTATAGAATTATCTACAAAGATTGTGTATATCTTCTTCTGTTTCTCAACATATAGTCAGTTTCACAATATTGTTCTTGAATACCGCGTAAGTATAGTATAAATTAATTACAGAATGGAAATGTATTTAATAATTAACTTTTTTAATGTAGATTGGATCTTTATGTATGGATATAATAGACTTTGAATTACGTCGATACGATCAGTGGAAGGATGATATGGAAAAACGTCGACGGCACTTTGAAAATACTACGGGATTAACATTTTTTTCAAGTGGAAATGATAACTATGACAAGAAAACAAAAATTGTTGATGATATTTGGAATACGGATGGTCCTTTAGATTACGAAATTAAAAAGCGGTCTAATGAAATAACTCCTACTGTAACTGAAAATGATATTAAAAAATTAAAAGAAGAACTTGAAAAAAGTCGCAAAAAATTTAAAAGTTTAACAAAAAAACAGGAACAACTATTACGTGGTTGGTAATTTATGATAATTTCAGTATTGTTAATATACTCTGAGTATATTATAAAAATTTATGTTACAGTTGCTTTTTATTTATTGCTAAATATCGCCGAAAATATGGAAGTTGAAAGAAAGATGCGCAAAAAAAATGTAATTGGTATGCTAATCAAAACATTGGATAGAGCAAATACCGATTTGTTAATACTTGTTATTGTATTTCTAAAGAAGTTGTCTATATTTCGTGAAAATAAAGATCTTATGGTAAAGTTTTTCATTGAAAATTCTAAGTAATATTTAAGCAGATCTTGTCCTAAGTACTTTAAAATTACTATTTAATCTTTCGTTTGATGCAAAGCTTAGAGCAAAAATGATAAGAGTTGGTTTGTTAACAAAGTTAATTAAATTACTTGGTCAAAGTGATATTAAAAATAAAACCACAATTTTGGGTTTATTATATCATGCCAGTATGGATGATAAAGTAAAAGCTATGTTCATAAATACTGAGTGCATTCAAATGGTAAATATTACAATAATATTTGTAACTATAAATAGCGTTTATAATTTACATAAACATTATGTACTATTTAATCATTTTTAAGATAACAAATATGATTTTAAACTCTGAAGATGATCAACCAAAACTAGAACTAATAGCGCTTGGTATAAATCTGGCAATTAACAGCAAAAATGCACAACTTATGGTAGAAAATAATCGTTTGCAAGGACTTATAAAGAAAGCATTTCGAACTCAAAATCCTTTAATAATGAAAATGATTCGAAATATTTCTCAGCATGATTCAACAAAAGAGAATTTTGTTGTAAGTAATCAGTTTATAGTATGAAACAATATTGTTAATAAAAGTATTAAAAAATTGCTTCTAATTACAATTAGGAATTTGTCGGTGATTTCGGCATGGCTTTAAAACAATCAGATTCTCAAGATTTTGTGCTTGAAGTTATAGGTGTACTAGGTAATTTAGAATTGCCCGTCTTGGATTATTCACAAATACTTCACATATGTGATCTGATTCCGTGGATACGCAATAATCTTGTTCCAGGTTTAATATTTGCATTACATTGAAATTCTTTTAAAAAAATTTCTAAAATTTTAATTTCATTTAACTTGACTATCAATTCATTTAACTAGGGAAAGCACCAGATGATTTAGTACTTGAAATTGTAATATTTTTGGGTACGGCGGCTTATGACGAAGATTGTGCACGTCTCTTATGCAAGGCTGACATATTATTGTCTCTTATTGAACTTCTTAGAGGTTTGTGTATTATTAGAAATGCAAAATGGATGTTACTTTATACTGAGAATTATCTTTACAGCAAAACAAGAAGATGATGAAATGGTTTTGCAAATAATTTATGTTTTTTATCAAATATCTAAACATGATTCAACAAGGGATTATTTAATACGCGAGACTGGCAATGGTAATAGTCAAATTTTATGCTTTATTATTAACATATAACATTAATAACAGAAAAATTGTTCTGCTTCATGTTACTGAAATATTTTTATTACTTGCAGAAGCACCTGGATATTTAATAGATCTTATGCATGATAAAAATCCAGCAATTAGAAAAATATGTGATGCATGTTTGGATGTTATTGCTGTAAGTATTCCTCAAATAATTTTTTTATTCTTTTGATATAAAAAATAAATTTATGCTGCGAATTTTTAGACGTGTGATAAAAATTGGGCAGCTCGCATAAAAGTAGAAAAGTTCAGATCGCATAATCAGCAGTGGTTGGAAATGGTTGAATCTATAACAAACGATGTTAACAATCATTTGTTACCCGAAGAAGATGATAGCCTTTCACCATTTATGAATGGTGATCTTTTGAAACATACAATGCTATTTCCATCTGGTAAATGAGTTTTAGTACATTTTACGTAACAAAACAATAATTTCGTTATTGAAATAATATTTAATTTTTAATAGGTAATGTGGCATCATTTAATACAGATGATCGATTTTCAATTATGAAAAATTCTTCAGAATCATCTGAAAATCAAAGTCGACCAGTTAGTAGGTAAGCTCCAACTACTGCAATTCTTAAAATTGAATAATTTTATTAAGTAACAATGATACATATTATATTTCTTTATATTTATATGTTAGGTATAAAGATTTTGATGAAATGGGAGAACTTATGGCACGTTCTAAATCTCGTATGTCTGTTGGTTCCGGTATTGAAGATCTGTATTATAATTCTAAACTTAAATTTCCTGAATCAGATAGTTCGCATGTATTAATATAAAAGGTAATCAATATCATATAGAATTATAGTTGTAACAATAATTCTAAATTAATATAAAGTTATGTTATTTCTTCTATTTAAAATACTTAAAAATATACATCATTTACGTGATAGTCATTTTGCATGCCCTATTTTTAACCATATTTTGAACTATTTCATGCATCATTATGATCGCCTAATTTGGTCCTTCCACCACAGGTGACGCACTTTGCACGATCAAATCAACAAAATTGACGTCTGTAACAACCCATACATGGTTTACTATATGTTTATTTATTCACAGAAGAATTTTAAAAAGCTTTAAAACGGTGTACATGATAAAATATTTTGATCTCATAATGTAATATACTTTTTGTTTTACTTTTTATAAGTTAATTTAATTTATACACGAAAATTTAGTTTAGACTGATTTCTAGTCATGTATCTTTACAAAATAATTATTATAGTTAATAATGTAATAATTTTTGCATTATGTAATACTAATATGTGCAATAACACTACTTAATCGCAAATTAATGATTAATTTGAACATAGTTTTAGTATAATATGGTACTACACAAATAATTTTGTTGGATGGAACTTAATAACAAAAAATTGTTAGACGACAAAAAACAAAACTTCAAAAACCCCA